GGGCAATAAATACTGCTTAGCCAGCGACGCCCTCATCCTGTGAATGAATAAAGAGAAAAGGATATACTTCTATATTTGCAAATACTAGATGCATTGAAGGTGATTCAATTAATTTCATAGATCTAAAAAACAGAACTTAATTTCATTATCAGTTATCTGGATTGTATTTTGAAAAAAAGTACCCTTTTAAATATCACAGCCCAGATTTACATGCACAGAAGCCGTAAGGGAGAATTTTAAAATGGTGGAGATGACATGATTGCAGGATTGCCACCCCCATCTCTGGCACCTCCAGTTTTTCTTGACGTGTGTTAAGTCTGCAGGTCCGAGTCAACAACGACTGGATTCAGGAACTTTTGCAAAGTTACCGTCCAAAGGTCTTACCCATGCCCCCTCATATAATCATACAATACAAAAGAGGCTCTTTGGCCCATCAAGACTGTTCTAGGTACCACGAAAAATATACTACTACCTACATTAATGCCACTTCCCTGCAGTAGGCCCATAGCCTTGAATATTATGACATGCACCCTCATCCCAATGGCTGTCATACCCACAGTGCTAACTCATAGCACTTCAATGCTTAAAAATGTAAGAAGGATGAGGCTTAATTGAGAGCTTAGATTCTTATAAAAGGTTTTACTTTGCTCATATGCCTTGCAAGAAGGGAAATTTTTGCCTGGTTGACAGTTTTGGGTAATATATTTAGCCTTTATTTTCCCTACAGACTGCTTTATCAATTTTTTTTTCTACCAGAGTGGATAACAAGTGTTTTCTTAGTAGTCCACACATGTCACTTACCAAACGGTTTGTTAATTCTGCAGTGTGTGTACACTGAGTGAATTGGCATTATTTGGCTTGGAGGGTATGAGGAGCTACTTGGAGAAAGCGGGGCAATGAGTTGGCATGGGAATTAAATGGTTGCTGAGGGCCTAGAGGATCTAAAATAAAAGCAAACGGCTGAGACAAGATCAAGTGAACAAAGACAAACATTTTAAACATCACCGCACCCCATGGCCATCTCCAATCTGCTTCTGTGGTGAAACTGGGTTTAACAGGGAACTTTCTGTTGAAGCAAATCTGGGAAATTTTCTGACCACAGATGTCAATTTCAATGACAAAAATCCATGCTTGAAAGTGCCTGTATCGTGTAAGTGCAGCAAGAGATATTACAGCAGATGCAAAAAAAAGTAGTTTTAGAAATTTACATGGGTGAAGAATTCATCTTTATTCAATAAAAAATGCATAACATTAAGATAGAAATAGTATAAACAGTTGGAAAGCAGAGCATTTGGCTTGCATGCTAACTTGTAATTTGGTAAGGCCGACTGGCTGACTGAACTGCTTAATTTTGCAGAAAATAACTTATTTTTATATCTTTCTTGCATAAAATACTAATATTGATGGTTGAGGTCTGACCTCTGTGATAGAATAAGCCCTAGGAAATGTTGTATGCCGTGGTGTATTAATATCAGCAATACACCTCTGATATAAAGTTTAACACTTTGTTTTGATTGTTTTGTCCCAATTTCTGTAGAATTTCTAATCTACGTTTTCATCATTATGCTTATTAAGAAACCGCTTTCAGAATCCTAATAAAATGTTTCAAATGGAATTAAGAAGCATTCAAGCAATTAAAACAAATAATATGATGATATGCTTGTTCATACATTTTGATATTTTCTAACCAACCTGTCCAGAGTTATGACACACCTCTGAAGCAGGTGGGACTTGAACTATACAAAGTTGTCTAATAGATTTCTCCTGTCTATTCAAACCCTCCTGCCCCCACACCACTTATTCCAGTAATATGCGTTGCTTCAAGATAGATCAGTCCTCCACATCTTTTACTGTTGGTGAGGCTTCTGGTACACCAGCTGTGTGGAGTCACGGTTACGTAGAAGCTTCTGGAGTGAAAAACAGGTATGTTTATGTTGTGATAATTGCAGGGAAAAGGAAATCTGCACTCTCTAAAGCACGTTTTTCATCTGCTCGGAGAGGTTCTCATGTGAAAGTCAGTTAAAAGAAGTTTGCAAATTACTGGAAAGACCAATCATAGAGGCTAGGTTCTGTCTGTTATGATTTGGTCTGCTGTTTGCAGAAGATTCTTTCATTTGTTTGTGCTGTTGCTAGGATACAGGAAGGAACTGACAGTTAACATCTATATAAGATCCCTGTGTCTTCAGAAGTAAAGAGCCACAGCCTTAATAGATCTTTACAAATTCAAAGGCTTTTCTTTCTTTGTCTCGACCAAGTTTACAGAAGAATTGAAAAGAATGACAGAAATGAGAGCAACCTTTAATATTCAAGGAATTCAATTTATAGAATAGAATTTAAGTGACCATGGCAGTTTCTAAAGCTGCTGCATTCTCTTTGTTGAAATGAATGTAGTTAGCATTTTTAAAGCATCAGGCTGCCTTTAGTAATTGGAGGATTTATTGTGCAGTCATAGAGGGTGATATACGGTCTTTTATAAAGATTTTACATTAGATTTTATACATTACAGTTAAACTATTCCTTACAAATTTTAAGATGACCTGAGTCAATATTTTGAGATGGTGCAGCTATTCTTATAAAGTTGCACACTTTAGGAGAGATTTAGGACATTTCCTGGATGTTTCACTGAACCGACTGGAAAAATAGCATGTTTTTAAAGAAAAAATATTGTGGTGGAATACTAATGGTAAACTTGTTTTCTTTATTTAAAAATCAGGCTGTGTGTAGCTGCCTTGTCGGTGAATAATTTTTGTGATAATAGAGAGGCTCTCTATGGTGTATTTGATGGTGACCGGAATGTAGAAGTGCCCTACCTCCTGCAGTGCACCATGAGTGATGTTTTGGCAGAGGAACTGCAGAAATCGAAGAGTGATGAGGAATACATGACTAACACTTTCCTTGTCATGCAGAGGTTAGTAAATTCATTGGGAATCTGTTACATAATGATATGTTTTGCCTGTATAGTTTTATGTTGCAATTTAATAGCATCGTATTTGAATAGAGAAATTTAGTGGACTGTTTAGTATCACTTGTTCAGTTGGGTTGACTCGGCTCAGCTTAATTGAGGATAACTTTGTGGATGTGATGTCGTGCAGCCTTCATGCATATTCTGTTTGCCTGTGCCTCTAATTGATATAGTATTTTAAGTTTAAAAAGATGCAAATCTGAAACCCAGATTTTCAATTTATCACATTCGTAAATGAGGAAGAATTTCCTGCTTAAAAAAGGATTGGAAATTTCACATTCTTTATTCCTCAGTCTATAATGTTTTTAAATGAATGATTTATAATTAAGATTAGAACATGGATGTAGTGCAATGCCTGGCCTCATATGTTAAGATGGAGTCATTAATTAATTATTTTTTTCTTCTAATCAGCCCTATATTCATCCCTCAATTCCTGTATTTAAGGAGGATAGAATATGTTCAGGGAATTACAAACCAGTCAGCTTAACATTAGTAGGAAAAGAAATGAAATCCTTGCTAACAGAGTAAATAAAAGAACATCTAGAAATGAGAAATAAATAAAATCCTGAACAGTCACCATTAATTTTAAAAGGGAGAATCTTGTTTGACTGTCTTTATTGAATTTTGGCATTGTGATGCAATCAATATAATTTTATTTGGATTTTCAAAAGGCCTAAGGTGCCCCATAATAAAGTAAGGAATAACGTCACAGAACATGGAGTCAGGGAAGAGATGCCAGAATGGATTGCGAGCTGGCTGCAAAATAGAAAGCAGAGAGCGGGAATAAAGAGTAGTTATTCAGCAGAAGGTGTAAAGAGATGTTCCACAATTATCTGTACTGCGACTAGCGATGCTCACAATTTTCTTGAACAATTTAGACTTTAAAATCAAAATCCCAATTTCTAAATTTGCGGATGTGGTCAATATTGAGGTTGGTGACAATAAACTAAAGGGGGATGTTAAAGTTGTCAAATGGCATATAACACAGATAAATGTGAAGTAGTACATTTTGGTAGAAAGAATGTGGAAGTTACGTTGTACTTGAAAGGTACAAATCTAGATGGGGTACTGAAACAAATGTATGTTGGATATAAATACGCCAATGACTAAAGGTGATGCCACAGGATAGCAAGTTCATAAAAAGCAAGTTAAGCACTATAGGAAGGATAGAATTTAAATAGGGGTTATGCTTCAGTTTTCACAGTAGAAAACATTAACCAGCATTCAGAAATTACAAAATGTTCAAAGAGGAGAGGAAATAAATACTATAATTTTAAGTAGAGGAACAAGTACTTGGGAAATTAACAGAGCTTATGTCTGATAAGTCCAAGTGGACCTGCTGAGATACATCCTAGGATATAAAGGGAATAGTTTCAGTGGGTGCACTGCTAGTAATCTTCCAGGAATCCTTAGATTCTGGAAAAGTTGCAGAGGATTGTCGGTTTTCTAGCGTAACACCTTTATTTAAAAAGGGGAGGAAATATTTTTTAAAAAGTCAGTTGACTTAATATCAAAATGTTTGAGTCTTTTAGTCTAATCGAGCAGAATCAACATGGCTGAAAAAATTACTAGAACATTTTGAGGAGGTCACAAGGATAGATCAAGAGGAGGCAGTGGATGTAATATTACTTAGATTTTCAGAAGGCATTCGGTAACGAGCCACACATGAAGTTATGTAATAAGAACCCATGGTGTTGGAGCTAGTATATTAGCATGGATAGCGGAGTGGCTAACAATTGGGTGCCAGAGAGTTGGGATAAAGAGGACATTTTCATGATGATAACTTGTATCTGTTGGTTTACCACAGAGATCAGTGCTGATGCTACAGTTATTTACAATATATATTAGTGACAGCACCGATCCTTGCGGCATGCCGCTGATCACATTCCTCCAGTCAGAAAAGCAACCCTCCGCCACCACCCTCTGTCTCCTGCCTTTGAGCCAGTTCTGTATCCAAATGGGTCGATCCCCCTGTATTCCATGCGACCTAACCTTGTTAACCAGTCTACCATGAGGAAATCTGTTGAACGCCTTACTGACATCCATATAGATCATGTCCACCGCCCTGTCTTCATGAGCCCTCTTTGTTACTTCTTCAAAAAACACTAGCCTGATACTTGGTAGGGAGGGGTTTGAATAATGAGTTGTGAATCTGTGGAATTCTTTACCATTGAGGGCTGTTGAGACTGGGTCATTAAGTATATTCAAGGTTGAAATAGAGAAATTTTTAATCAATAACGATATGAAGAAAAGGCAGGAAAGTGGAGTTGAGGATTATCAGATCAGCTATGATCTCTCTGAATTGCCTACTTCTGCTCCTGTGTTTCATGTTCTATACTAAACTTGCATCAGATCTTGGTTAGAGCACATTTAGATTTACTGTGTACAGTTTTGGTTATCATATCATAAAAAGGATATAAAGGCTTTAGAGAAGCTTCAGGGAAGATGTACAAGCATGATACCAGAAGTGTGTGGATTTTTTTTGTCAGGAAAGGATTGATGGACTAGATCTCTCTTCTCTTGTAAAAGATGCGATGACCTAATAGAGGCCTTTACAATTAAGGTTTTTATACCATGGATACAGAAAGAATGTTTTCTCTTGTGGAGAAGAAAATAACAAGAAGCCATCAATCTAAGATATCCTCCGAGAAATCCAAGAGGGAATTCAGAAAAATCTTCTTGAAAAATCAGGGAGTTGACAGTTATGCTGAGTTGGCACAAAAGGCGATTTGAGGCGTGGGACAGGCTTGTCATGATCTTGTTGAATGATGGGGCAAGCTTAGGGATGAGTGGCCTACTCTTCGTCCTATTCCTTATGTTCATGCTCCATTCTTGCCTTTGTACTCTCCAACATTCATTCACCATCCTGATCTTCTTCAGCTGACTTGTTTTCTCCTGCCTTTGCTTCTGCACTCAGTTCTGAAGACCCTCTTCATTCCCTGGTTCCCACCATCTGTTTTCAAAGTCGTTACCAACACTAAGGTATAACAAATAACTGTGGAAGCTGGAGATTTGAAACAAAAACACAAACTCGGATCTAGCAGAATCTTTGGAGAGAAAAACAAAGTCAACATTGAGTCCAGTGACCCTTCTTCAGAACTGAAAGCTGCTTGTGGTATTCACACCGATGACAGGGTATAGGGTTGGTGGGGGTGTTGTGACGGGAAAGATTAAATCGAGTAGATGGATACTGTTCTGAGAGAGAAAAAGGGAAGCAGACAAAGGGATTGCTGATGGTAAGCCAGGAAAGAAGTAAATGTTGAATGAGTGCTAATGGGTAGTGTGAATAGTTGAAAATGCATTGGCTGTGCTGGGAGTAACCCATCCAGAACAGGACCTGGGGGTGAGGTGGTGGGTGACAAACATGAAGGAAGATGTTCACACTCTTAAACTGTTAAGCTGAAGATTGAGTCCTGAAGGCTGTAAGGTACATAGGCAGAAGATGAGGTATTGTTCCTCCAACTGCGTTGAGCTTCGCTGGAGCACTGCAGCAGGCCTGAGACATACTTGTTGAGCCAAGAACATGATGTGTTGAAGTGGCAGGCAACTTTATGTTCATGATCATTTTTTACAAATAGAGTGAATGTGTTCTGCAGATAGTCAGCCAGTCTGCTTTTTGTCTCTGCAATGGAGAGGAGACCACATTGTGAGCAGCAAGTACAGTAGTCTAGATTGAATGAAGTATAGGTAAATCGCTGCTTCACCTGGAAGATGTGCCTGGGGCTTTGGGTAGTGAGGAGGGAGGAGATAAATGGACAAATGTTGCACCTTCTGCAATAGCAAGAGAAGAGGATATGGGGAAGTAGGTTGGAAGTGGAGGAGGAGTGAACCAGGATGTCCTAGAAGGAACAGTTCCTGTAGAATACTGTCAAGGGAGGAGAGGGGGATGTGTTTGATGGTGGCATCCTGCTGGAAGTGGCGGAAATGGCAGCTTGCTATCTGTTGGATGCAAAGACCGGTGGGGTGGAAAATGAGGACAAAGGAGACCTATCGTTGTTGTGGGAGTGAAGGGAAGGGGTAAGGGCAGAAGAGCGGGAAATAGCTTGGACATGGCTAAGGGCCCTGGTCAACTATGGTAGCAGGGAATACTTGGTTGACGAAAAGGGTGGATGCTCTGAGGCTCCTTTGTAGAAGATGGCATCATCAGTACAGATGCGACAGAGACAGATAAACTGGAAGAATGGAATGGAGTGGCATGTCTGCAGTGCTCCAGATAAGCTCAGTGCAGGTTGGAGGCACATGACTTCATTGTCCATCTAGGTACCTTACAAGTCTCCAACCTCAAACCAATTTCAGAGCATGAGCACCTTCCTCCATATTTGTAATCCACCCCCAGGTCCTGTCTTGTATGGGATGCTCCCAGCTCAACCAACTCATTTTCAACTATTTACACTTCGCATTAGTCCCCATTCAGCGCTTACTTCTTTCCTGGCTTACTTTCAGCAACCCTTTTACTTTTTGCTCTCTCTGGGCACTGTCTGCATTCGTTTGACTCATTCACTGGTTAAACCACCCCCCCCCCGCCCTCAGCAGTCATTACCAGAAATACCACCTTTGCCTAACTGCTATCAGTTCTGACAAAGGATCACCGGACTCAAAATGCTAACTCTATTTTTCTCTCACAGGTTCTGCTAGACCTGTTGAGTTTCTTCAGCACCCTGTTTTTGTATAATCATTAGGGTCTTCTTCAGCTGGTCATTCTTAGTCCCATTTCTGTTCTCAGTCAGCCCAGACTGAAGTCCAGGGACTCCTTTGGCGGCTCTCCGTGTTCACCAATTTCTGTCACTAGATGGAGCCTGATTGTTATTTTGTACCTTTATTGATACATTTACCTTTAACATTATATTTCTTTCATCTTTTAAACATTACTTATCAATATAAGCATTCACGACTTCCAATTTTTTTTCCTATGAGAAAATGCGCCACAATACTTATTTGAACTATGAACTGAAAGTGAGAAAAATGCAGACTGCTTAAAGAAGGGGAGAAAGTGTACTTGCTGTTGTACACAGATTTGCTCCCCTCTGATCTGCATACTTGCAAGGTCAGCTGCAAGCTCGATAGTTTTCTTATTTCCCTTATTGACCTGTTGCGTCAGGCTATGCAGTCCTTTGCAGTAAATAGGGGTTTTCTATTATAGTGCTGTCCATGTTCTTGTACTATCCACAGAAGGTCCGTGCCTATTCCATGCAAATAACAAGGATTTATGTACAAGCAGCAGTTTGCACCCTTGGAAAAACAAGTTCATCTAACTTGTGTATATAAAAGGATGTTAATTTTTGGGGACATTTGAGTCCAGATAAAGTGATACTGTTTGTCTTGGGTTCAGGAGAGCTTGGCACAGCCATTAGCCTCTGATGCGCCAGACTGCAGTTCAACACAGACTCAGACGAGAGTGAGACAAGCAAAGGAACAAAGCAAGGAGGCCCTCAAAAGTTGGCTGCATTAGTCTTTTCCTTTCCCCCCTCTGTAAAATTCCTTATCCAGTTTTCTGTTGAAAGAGCAGAAAAAAAAAATACATTTGGAAACAATCCTAAAACTCAGATACCCAGATAAAAAAAACAGGGTTCAACCAAGCAACCAATGAACTAACGACATATGTGAATAGGTTTATTAAAATATATCTACATGAGTATAGTAAGAGCAAAATACTGGGGGTGCTGGAAATCTGAAACAATCATAGAGAATGCTGAAGAAACTCAGCAGGTCTGGTAGCATCTACAGAGAGAAGAACAATTAAAGTTTGGAGTCTGGTGATCTATTGTCAGAACTCATAGTAGCTCGAAAAGGTGATATTTATGCTGAAAACAGCAGGAATGGAGGTAGGGAATAGCACTGGTGAATGAGTCGAATGGATGAAGATGGCACCCAGAGAGAGTGAAAAATAAAAGGGAAGCAGACAAAGGATTGCTGATAGTAAGCTAGGAGAGAAGTAAGTGCTGAATGAGTACCAGTGAGAAGTGCTATACAAATAACATTGATGCATCAACTGAGGAAGGAAAAGGATTGTGGAACCAACACATCTGGTTTTCTGACTTTGTGCTGCTGGTACAGAACTATGTTCCTCTGACAATTTTTTATTCAATTCTCCACTTAATATTTGCGTTTGTCTTTTTTTCCCTTTGTCTGTGTGTGGTGAGAATTTCAAGAGGGGTAAAGCATAAGTGAAACAAGTCAGAAATCTTGTTCCTGCTAAGTGTTGCAATAAATAGTTTTTTTTATTGTTTCTAATTTATCTCTTTATCCTGCGTGGCAGTCAGTTAGAAGCAAATTAGGATTTTTGGTAGTTTCATTGAATTTCTAATAATTGTTGCGAATCATGGAACAGTGATGCTTAATTTCCAGCACAGTGCCCCAGTGAGCTGTATAGTGAATGTACTATAGCCAAGTTTGCAAATGACATGAAAATAGGGGAAAGGCAGTTTGAGAGAGGGATATGAACAGTTTACAGAGAGATATTGACAGGTTAAAGAAGTGGGCACAAAGTTGGCAAATGGAGTATAATGTGGAAAAATGTGAAGTTTTTGGAAGGGAGAACTAAAGAAGAGTATTATTTAAATATAGGAAAATTGCAGCACAAAGGTACTTGGAGGTACTTGTACATGAAACACAGAAAACTAGAGCACAGGTGCAGTAGATATCAGGAAGTCTAATGGAATATTGGCCCTTAATTCAAGGGGAATTGGAGTATAAAATAGAGAAGTCATATTGCAGCTATGCAAGGTGCTGGTGAGACCACATCTGGAGTACTGTGAGCAGTTATGGTCCCCTGATTTAAGGAATGATGTCATTTCATTGGAGGCAATTCGCTAGGATAATCCCTGATATGGAGGGATTTTCTTATGAGCGAAGGTTAAACAGGTTATGACTGTATTCATTGGTGTTCAGAAGAGGTAACCTAAAAGGATTCTGAAGGTGCTTTACAGGGTAAATGCTGAGAGGATGTTTCCCCTCATGGAAGTGTCGAAGACCAGAGGGTATAGTCTCATACTAAAGGGGCATCAATTTAAGATGGAGATGAGGAGGAACTTCTTCTCATGGGTTGAGAGCCTTTGGAACTCCTTGCCACAGAGAGCTGTGGGGGGCAGGGGGGCTGGTGCAGAGTCCTCGTGTATATTTAAGGCTGAGATAAATAGATACTTGGTCAGCAGGAGAATAAAGGGTTATTGGGAAAGAGCAGGAAAGTGGATGTGAGGAATGTCTGATCAGCCATGATCCTATTGAATGGCAGAGCAGGCTTGAGGAACCAAACAAACTACTCCTGTTCCTATTTACTATGGTCTTATGGTCTATTTAGTGATTTACTTTATTTCTTAAGTTATTTTGACTAGGAATGCTATTCTTGTTCTGTTCATAGATTAGGCTTTTTAAAACAAGAATTTGGAGTTTACCAGTAAGTGCATATTGTTGCGTATGACTGGTATCGTTGTATGGAAGGCAATAGGAAAGAGTAGGATAGATAAGTCAACTGAGCCAGACAGGATATACCCAAGGTTACTACGGGAAGCGAGGGAAGAAATTGCTGCCCTTTGGCAATGATCTTTGCGTCCTCACTGTCCACTGGAGTAGTATCAGAAGATTGGAGGGTGGCAAAGATCGTTCCCTTGTTCAAGAAAGGGAATAGGGATAATCCTGGGAATTACAAACTGGTCTATCTTACTTCTGTGGTGGGCAAATTATTGGAGAGGATTCTGAGATAGTATTTATGATTATTTGGAAAAGCACAGTTTGATTAGAAATAGTCAGCATGGCTTTGTGAGGGGCAGGTCATGCCTCACAAGCTTCATTGAATTCTTTGAGGATCTAACAAAATACATTGATGAACGCAGAGCAGTGGATGTGGTATGTATTGATTTTAGCGAGGCATTTGATAAGGTTCCACATGGTAGGCTCATTCAGAAAGTAAGGAGGCGTGGGATTCAGGCAAATTTGGCTGTCTGGATACAAAACTGGCTATCCAATAGAAGACAGAGGGTGGTAGTAGATGAAAGTACTTGGAATATTGTGTTCAGTTCTGGCTACCTCATTATAGCAAAGATGTGGAAGCTTTAGAGAGGGTGCAAAGGAGATTTACCAGGATGCTGCCTGGACTGGAGGGCGGGTCTTATGAGGAAAAGTTGAGGGAGCTAGGGCATTTTTCATTGGAGTGAAGAAGGATGAGAGGTGACCCGATAGAGGCATAGATAGAGTGGATAGCCAGAGACTTTTTCCCAGGGCGGAAATGACTATTACAAGAGGGCATAATTTTAAGGTGATTGGAGGAAGGTATGGGGAGATGTCAGAGGAAGGTTCCTTACACAGAGAGTGGTGGACGTATGGAATGCGCTGCCGGCAGTGTTAGTGGAGTCAGATACTTTAGAGACTTTTAAGCGACTCTTTGATAGGCACATGGAGGATAGTAAAATGTAGGATATGCAAGGTAGATTGATCTTAGTAGAATAATAGGTCGGCACAACATCGTGGGCCTGTACTGTGCTGTACTGTTCTATGTTCTAAGTTCTAAATGACTTGCACTGGACTTTCTCACACTTTGAGAGGGTGCGCAGCTGATCATTCTCAGGTAATTTAATCTATCTGATTCTGCAATAGGAAATTGTACTGTTCTTTGGCAATTTCTTATGTTCGGCAATGTTATTTGTATACAGTATACCACATTTCAGTGCCACCTTAACATTTAACACAGGAAAGATTCCCACTGTGATAAATGCTTATAACAAACAATTTCAGTATAAATATTGTACAGCAGCAATTTTTTTCTATAATTATTCTGAATTTATTATTTTAGGAAACTTGGAACTGCTGGACAGAAGCTTGGAGGCTCCGCTGTGCTTTGTCATATAAAGCACGACCCAATGGATCCTACTGGTTGCTTCACATTGACTGCAGCCAATGTGGGAAAGTGCCAAGCTGTCCTCTGCAGAGATGGCAAGCCGTTGCCTCTCTCAAAACTATACACTGTTCGTTCCAATGAAGAATTGGAGAGAGTTAAACAATACAAAGCTATTGTCACCGAGGTAAAATATCCAGTACTCAGCTGTATGAAGCTCAGTTACATCAAGAGCAGTTTTCCAAACAACCAATTCCTGCGAAATATTTAATTTGAAGAAGTTTTCGATTACTTCCAGATGTACACATTTTGAGTTTACAATTACTTGCACATTCCTAGGCTTTTGATTTTTTTTTTTCTCACATCCCTGACCCAGTGGGCAATCTCTGACTGGATCTGTTCTTGTCTTGTTGAAATGCCCAATGCAGCGGTTTTTAAGAGGGCAGTTTATAAATTCAGGAATAGTTGATGAAAATGATGATGTAACTAAAATAAATTGTGCACCTTATTATAGTTAAAGAACAATGGATGTGGTACTTGCGTAATTCATGAAGAATAAACTTGCTGTAGACTTTGGTAGAGGTATTACAAAGCCCACTTGCCAATCAATCAGCACTCAGTTATTCCCCTTTCCATCCATATTTTTGCGAAGACAAATCGCTTTGGCAACATGTCTTTTTTTTAGCAATGCTCAAACTAATTAGTATTCTCACCATTTGCTAAAGCTGGGGAGCTGTGGTTAAGCATATCTGATAGGAACATCATTGACTGAGTATCATATCCCTCACTTCAGCTGACTGACAGAAAGGAATGGACAGAATTATCTAAAAATACTTTGCAGAAGAGAAATATGTGCATTTCATAGTCTTCCTATCAAAAGTTATTGCCTGTAAATCAATTTGAAATTGGCAGTCATAGATACTTAATTTTAAACAATTAAGTTATTCTTTTAAAAAAAATCACCCCATAAAACAAAATCTCCCTCATGAATAAAATAGGCACAGTAATCTGAAAAGCAAAGGGAAAATGTTTGAAATTTAACTTCAGGAAAACAAACGCACAAGCGAGAGGCCACAGTCAGTGTAGTGAATTGGACTACAGTACTTCCACTTTTTAATCATAATTCTTCTGCGTTCATTCATCGTACATTGTTAACTAAGATCTGCTACTACCCCATAAGGGAAAAATCAAATGGAAAAACCATCCCTTGATTAGCCCTCATTCAACCTTGTGTCAACGTCTTAGGCCTGTTCTGCATCAGATAGTGGTCTCTCCTGTTGCTGGCTAGATCTATTGTTTGTAGTGCAGAAGAATGCAGTCAGGAGCTGCACCAGGCATACATAAATATGAGAAGTCAATCTGGTGAAGCTACAAAAGAATTCTACTCCTATGCAAAGCAGTGTAAGTAGCATGAACAGTGCTAAATAATTCCACAACCAGCGATCAGATACAAGTGTGGCAGTCCTATCACAGCTAGTTGTGAATGGTGATAGACGATTAAAGAACTTGCTGGAGGAAGAAGCTTCACAAATATCGCCATTCTTAATAACGGAGGAGTTCAGCACACAGTGACAAAGATAAGGCTGAAGCGATTGTGACAATTTTTGGCCAAAAGTGCTGAGTGGATGAACCATCTCAGCCTCCTCCAGAAGTCCCCAGCATTACAAATGCCATTATTCAGCCAATTTTATTGACTCCACATGATGTCTAGAATGGCTGAAGGCACTGGATGCTACAGAGGTTATTGCACCTGATAACATTCTGATAATAGTACTGAACATTTGTGCTTCAGATTCTGCCATGCCCCTAGCCTAGCTGTTCAGTACAGCTACAAGACTGTCATATAGTTGACAGTGTGGAAAATGAGCCAAATTAATAAAATTCTGGACAGATCCAAGCCTACTCTCAATCATCAGTGAAGTGATGGAAGGGGTCAACAATACTACCAAGCAGCATTGACTTAACAGCACCCTGCCCACTGATGCTCAGTTTGGGTTCCACCAGGGTCACTCAGCTGCTGACCTCATTACAGTGTGAGTTCAAACATGGAAAAAAGGAGCTGAATTCCAGAAGTGAGATGATAATAACTGCCCTTGACATCGAGACCACATTTGAATGAGTGTGACGTCAAGAAGCTTTAGCAAAACTGGATTCAGTGGGGATCAGGGAAAACTCTCTGCTGATTAGAGTCATACATGGAATGGAGGAAGATGGTGTGGTTGTTCAAATCAGTCATCTCTGCTCCAGGATATCTGTGCAGGGTTCATCAGGGTGATGTTTGAGGCTTGACCATCTTTAGCTGCTTCATCAATGACTTTCCCTTCATCATAAGGTCAGAAGTGGGGTGGTTCATTGACTACATGATGTTCAACACCATTTGCGACTTCTCTGATACTGAAACAGTCCATGTCAAAATATAGTAAGACCTAGACAGTATCTAGTTTTGGGCTGACAATTGGCAAATAACATTCACATGCTCAAATGCCAGGCAATGACCATCTCTACCAAAAGAGGATCTAACCATCACCACTTGACATTCAATGGCATGACTATCACTAAATCCCTCAATCCATAGCCTAGGGCTTACCATTGACCAGAAATTAAACCGTACTAGCCACGTAAATATTGTCATGCAGTGAATAACTCACCTCCTGACTACCAAAGCTTGTCCACCATCTACAAGGTATAAGTCAAGAATGTGATGAATTCTCCCCATTTGCCTGGATGAGTACAGCTCTGACAACACTCAAGAAACTTGACACCATCCAGGACAAAGCAGTCTACTTGATTGATACCACATCCACAAGTGTTCACTCCCTTCAATTATTAAGGACGTAATAGTAGCACATTTTGCTAACCCTAACCCTAATAACTTTCTGTACTGCATGGTATACATGCAGCCAGCAAAGCTGTAACAGTCCCAAAATAGTGCTCAAAGCAGTTACGAGCTAAGCTTCAAAAGATGCCACTGATTCTCCCTTTCACAGAAATGAGCTGTTTGTGCTGAAGTTCAATTCTTCAAAATGGAATACCTGGCTTGGCTGATCTAGAAAACCATAATTTCTATCTTGAGTGGCAAAGCAGGAAACAGTTGTTTTGACCAAGTAGAATCTTTGCAGTTGAGATTAGCCTGATGGACAGAAGGGGATGGCATAACCAACTTGTTAAGTATTTTTGTTAAAATTACTTCCATAATTTTATTTCAAAACACATAACCTAAGAACTGCTGCTTTTTGAATTGTCTGATATTTCCCATGTCTTGATTTCTGAACAAATTATAACATTAAGAAGCTACTGCTGCTGATGGTATCCAGTTGCCCCCACATAAAAAAATTCATTTAGGATGTAGCTTTTTTTTTCCTGTTTTGTATTGTCTACAAATATTTTATTAATGTTAATCTGTATAATTTCTATACCTCCTTCATCTATTATTTGCATTCATCTTCTTTTATAGGACAGTAAAGTTAATGGGGTGACTGATTCTACAAGGATTTTGGGCTACACATTCCTTCATCCATACGTTGTGCCTCGGCCTCATGTTCAGTCTGTTACGCTCACACCTCAAGATGAGTTCTTCATTCTGGGTAGTAAGGGCCTCTGGGACAGCATCTCCCATTTGGAAGCTGTGGAATCTGTGAGAAATGTCCCTGACGCTCAAGCTGCTGCTAAGAAGCTTTGTACCCTGGCCCAGAGCTATGGATGCAATGACAGCATCAGTGCTGTGGTTGTCCAGCTGAACGTTAATGAGGATTGCTTCTGCTGTTGTGACATGAATGGTGTATCGCCTTCCAGCCCAGGCATTTTTCCTCCATCAGTAAATGTGGTAATAAAAGACAGGCCGGCAGATACCTTGGGGATGCCATCATCTAGCAGTGGTGTTGCCTCCGAGATAAGCAGTGAAATATCCACCTCAGAGATGAGCAGTGAAGTGGGTTCTACGGCCTCTGATGAACCTCCTCCAGTCACAATGAATGATGGAGGCCCCTTGATCCATAGTGAGCAGCGTTGTATGCTGCACCCAGTATGCTTGACCAGCTCATTCCAGCGGCAGCTGTCCAGTGCCACCTTCTCCAGCACGTTTTCAGATAATGCATTGGACAGCGAAGATGAGGAGCCTATTGAAGGCGTGTTTTCCAATGGCAGCAGAGTGGAAGTTGAGGTTGACATTCATTGTAGTCAGGTGAAGGAAAAGATGTCAATGCATTTAACTTCTGATGCATGTGATGAAGGAATAGTAATCAGCGCAAATGAAGATGAAAACTCTGAAAAAATGCAACTTCTTAAAATTCACAGTGAAAATGACTGGCTGGACAATGACAATAGTAAGTTTGAATACTCCACAACAGGGACTATTGGTCGAAGGCGTGGAAATGGTTCTGTTGCACCTTCGGAGAAGAGCCACAACTTGATTGAGGTGGCAGCTGATGTACCGATGAAAAAGAGTGGAGGCTATTTTGCTGCCCCTGCACAGCCTGATCCAGATGATCAATTCATCATTCCTCCAGAATTGGAGGAAGAAGTAAAGGAGATTATGAAGCAACACCAGGAACAACAGCAACGCCAGTATCAACTTGACCAGCTCCCAGATTGCTATGATACACCTCTATGACCAGGAAGAAAACAATTAGTTTTAATAAATTTGAGCCTTCTATGCTCTACTTACTTATAAATTGAAACTGTTCAGTTGAGATATTTTTCTCACTTTCTCAGCCCTCTCTGCCAGTTACACACACTGATGTGCAGCCATTTTTAAAAAAATCCTCATTAGTTGGTTCTTTTGTTGTGATTAAGATATAAAAACAGATTAACAAATTTTCATAGCACATTGTTTATACAAGATGAGGACACGTTTAGTATATTGCAAGCCGTCATTATTTGTAAACTGTTGAGTATTTGTTTTAAAAACAAGCCTAAGTATTATGAATTAATAATTCTAGATAATGCTATAAATGTATTTCTAAAATCATGGCTTTTTAAAGTGAAAGTCATAGAAATTTGTAGACTTTAAAGACTAACTCCTAGGAGTTGCAAACTCATTAATGTGACATAGTCACTGAGATTTTACTAATCTTCTCTGAGAGAACAGCTGATTCACAAATTATTTGTAAATAGTTTAAATGTTGTATAGTGATGCAAAAACTCAATTTACACCATCAGAGTCCTGTATCTGGAAAAGAATAAAGCAAAGAGGACTTTTGTAAAAAAAATTTCATCCCCTCAATGCAACTATAATGAGATAATGAGTGACTGACTGGATTTTGGTGTAATTACTACCTGCCATGCTTTGTCTTTCAGGATCGCTTTTTGTTCTTTCAGTTGGCCTGTTTTCACAGTTGAGTTCCTGTTCTTCCATGTCTTCTGCCGCTCACCAGCAGTGTCCTCATGTTGTTGCAAGGAAAACAAAATGATATACAAAGCACTCTTGAATTGATATGTTAATACACTTTTGTTTAAAATAAATCTACAATTTAGGTAAACCTGTTTGGTTCATTTTTCATTAAAAATCAAATCCTAAGCAGTGTACTTCAAGTGACCAAAAATGTATTCCATAGAACCAAGGTGTTTTTGCTGTCATTGGCTTATTTTGGTGTTTCACAGGCAGAGGAAAATAACACCCTTTTGTGACTTGATAATAACTGTACATTCACATTAGATCTGATGCGTAGAGTATCCCTGCAGGAATCTACTAGTGTGAAAGGAGAGACGGATGGGAGCTAGGCAAGAAAATGAATATGAAATTGTCATGAGATTTGTCAGCTGTGACTCAATGGATACAACTATAACCTCTGAATCAGAAGGTTGAGAATTTAAATCTACTGCAGAAACCTGTGCATGAAATCCAGGCTGACCTGGAGTGAAGAAATGCTGCACTGTCAGACACTGCCAGATAAGATGTTAAACTGAAACTTTGTCTGCTTTCAGACTTGCGTAAATGATTCCAGAGCACTTAATTTGAACAATAGCAAGAATCTGCTGCTAGTGTCCTGGCTAATTTTTATCCTTCAATTCCTCTATGTCAATGTAGTATTCAGGCTGATAGCCAAACAATGAGCATGGTTTTCTCAGTCTGTCCAATTCGAGAAAGGTGTAGGAAAAAAATACACTAGGAAGTCCATGCAGATTTTTTTGGCCAGAGAATGTTATTCATTTGAATTATGATGCTTAGTGTACAAGTTTTAAGTCCAGGTGCTCCAGAAGATTTTTCAAACATTGTTCGGAAATTATATTTTCATGTCATGGTTAATGTTATCAACAATGATCATCCACAATCATCAAGCAAGGATTTTGTGTCCCAAATTTGTTTAGTAGACCGTTTTGTGTACGTGGCATTTAAGACCCAGAACAGATAAATTGCATGCCCAATACCTCAAGAATTGGGTTCGTAGGGTCATAGAGATATACAGCATGGAACAGACCCTTTGGCCCAACTTGTCCATGCTGATCAGATATCCTAAATCAAGATCTGTTTGCCAGCATTTGGCCCATATACCACTAAACCCATCCAGATGCCTTTTAATTGTTTCAATAGCACCAGCTTCCACTTCCTGTGGCAGCTTATTCCATACACACACTACCCTCTGTGTGAAAAAGTTGCCCATTAGGTTCCTTTTATATCTTTCCCCTTTCACCGTAAACCTATGCCCACTAGTTTTGGACCCCCCACCCCTTGCCTTTTTACCCTCTCCATGCCCGTCATGATTTTATAAAGCTCTATAAAGTCACCCCTCAGCCTCTGATGCTCCAGGGAAAATAGCCCCAGCCTTTTCAACCCCCCCCCCCCCCCACCCCCAATAGCTCAAACTATCCAATCCTAGCAACATCCTTGAAAATCCTTTCTGAACCATTTCAAGTTTAATACCATTTTACCTACAGCAGGGAGACCAGAATTGAATGCAGTATTCTAAAAGTGGCCTCACCAATGTCCTGTACAGCTGTAACCCCAGCCTATTCAGCCTCTCCCTATAGCTCAAACCTTCCAATCCTGGCAACATGTTTGCAAGTCTTTTCTGAACCCTTTGCGTGCTATACCCCAAAAGTGGCTGAACCAATGTCCTGTACAGCCACAACATGACCTCACAACTCCGATGCACTGACCAATAAAGGCAAGCATACCAAATGTCGTCTTCACCATCCTTTCTACCTGGGACTCCATTTTCAAGGAACTATGAACCTGCACTCCAAGGTCTCTTTCTTAAGTAACACTCGCCAGGGCTTACCATTAAGTGTATAAGTCCTGCCCTGATTTGCTTTTCCAAAATGCAGCACCTCACATTTATGTAAATTAGACTCTATCTGTCACTCCTCAGCTCATTGGCCCATCTGATCAAGATCCCGTTTCACTCTGAGATAACCTTCTATCTCCAATCCAAACAGAAAGCAGATAACTACACATAACTTGCTTAATGACAATTTTGAAATCATACAACAGTACGTTACTCATGGAAGTTATTGGGTTTATCAGGTCTGCACCAACGCTTTCAAAGAACAATCCGGTTGTTACACTGCAGCTTTCCCCCCATATGCAAACACTTTTTTCATCTTCAAATATTTATACAATTCTTGTCCGGAAACTGCTGTTTGAATCTGTTTTGTTTGCAATTCAAGGCGTTTAGCTGACTTGCTTGGGGTCAATATCACAATTAACTTAAAAACAGGACTGAAGTCATGATCCAGATTGAACCTGTTTATCTAATCACATGTCAGTAACTGACTACTTACATGATGAACAGGTTCTGGTGGTAAATTTCAATGAATTTCAAGCACACATTTGTGGGGCGGCTCAGTGGTTAGCACTGCTGCCTCAGCACCAGGGACCTGGTTCAATTCCACCCCCAGGCTGTGTGGAGTTTGTATGTTCTCCTTGTGTTTGCATGGGTTTCCTTCCACAGTCCAAAGATGTTCAGGTTAGGTGGTTTGGCCATGCTAAATTGCTGACAGTGTCCAGGAATGTGTAGGTTAGGTGCTTTAGCCATGGGAAATCCAGGGTTACAGGGGAAAAGGGTAGGGCAGCAGGTCTGTGTGGGATGTTCTTTGGAGGGTTAGTGTGGACTTGTTGGGCCAAATGGCCTGTTTCCACACTTTAGGGATTCTATAGATACAGATTACCGTCACTCAAAGCCACTTATACCTACTCGGCTGTGGCTTTCAGTTTGATATATGTGGTTTATACATACATCCACAAGTTGGGCTCCATAAGTGTGCCCACCATTGAAGTTTATTATCAATTTGACAGGGAACACTGTCTTTACTGCAAATTCAGAAATTATAGAAAATGCCTCCAACCCCACCAGTGTGTAAATGATTTTATTTCAACAATGGCACGCCACTCTAGATGGTATAAAGAACAAAAAAAAAATCAAATAAAAAGTGTGTGTTAGAGAAACAGCAGATCTGGCAGCATACATAGAGAGAAAACAGTCAACCTTTCCTGTTCGGTGACCCTTTGTCACAATAACATTCACATTGTTGTCAAGTGATGTGAAGGAGTTATTGCTCTAAAGATGGCACTGAATCATGTTAAATAAAATACCCTGTGGTATTTTAATTTGAAGTTGATCTCTCTTCAGCAACCTTCTCCATCCTAGCAGCCTCTCTCCCTCTCTCACATCTCACATCTATCCCCAGCACCTTTGCAGCAAAAAGGAGGCTGGCTCCTAATGCAGGCTTCTCCCTCCAATCCCATTCCCATGCAGCTCTCACTCCTTGTCCCAGCACCAGCCTTTGTCCCTGCTCCCAGATTCTTGACTTCAGCCTGGACATCTGCATTTAGTGGAACATAATGATCTCAGATGTACACATACATCTTGGCACTGAAGGCACTTGTCACCAGTACGTGACATTTTGAGTGCACATGCCCAGAGGTCAGTGGCCATTTTAACAGTCACCTTTGTGTTCCAGCCAATTTCTCCATTCCAGGCAATAGATGATCTGAAATTAGGACTTTGTCGTAAGTGGTAGTCCAAGATAATTCAATGATTAAATGCTGGAAAGTCCAAGCTGAAGGGATAAGGAAAGCAGATTCGGCAGTAACTTTCAAAAGAAAGTTAGATGAATACATGAAGGAAAATAATTTGCAGGGTATCAAAGAGTAGGAGTATGAGATTAATTGAATAGCCATACTAAAGAGCCACATAAACAAACTGAGTCACTGTTCCTTCTCCACTATTATTCTGTCTGTGTTGTATTATTTTATGAAATACGAATATTTTCATTCTTTGCGGAATTACAGCTGCTTTTAAATGTTATCTTCACAAAAGGAAATGCCCAAGTTTACCTTTTTTCACCTGTTGAAATTCCATTAATTTGTCTCCAGCTCCTCTGATGATTTTTTTTCTTCTATCCCATAAACACTGACTATTTTATGGTAGCTGCTGAAATTCACAGAACTCAGAAAATAGCAATTGAAAGTTAAGCGGTTATAAGCATTCAAGCAAGCCTCACTAATTACCCTGGTTTTATATAGGCATGTGATTGTTTATAGGCCAAGAATAATGTAGCTGGTAGTGTAAATTAAGGAAACTTCTCATTGTCATAATTCTCCAGCAATCTAAACCAGCAGCAGCATAAACTCGTGTGATCAAGCAAATTTGGAGTAGGCCATTTTGCTGTTGAACCTCCTGTGCAATTTTGAATCTTTTGTTAGTCTAGAATCTATCTATTTCTACCTTAAAAATATTCAATGACTGATCATAAGGGACCAGTGATTAATTCCGCAATTGTTTGAAAAGAAATGCAATTACTTCCATCTCATATTTCTCAAAGTTGTTACCTTTTAAATGGTTTTGGTTACTTAAGGTGGGTGGAAGAGATCCCTCGGCCTTCCTCCAGATGTTGTCATATATCCTTTAAAAGTGAGTTGTTTCTGATTAGGACTTTGGTGTAATTTTCTCTCTGGTTTCAATGAAGCTGTTGAACTGAAGGCAAGAAAATTTGGCAATGAAGTTTATCAGTGGCACATCAGATAGATGTAAACGGGTATGATATAATTGCGATTACAGAGACATGGCTGCAAGGTGACCAAGGATGGAAACAATGTCCCAGGTATTCAGTATTTAGGAAGGACCAGCAAATAGGAAAAGGTGGTAGAATGGCATTGCTGGTTAAAGAGGAAATTAACACCGTAGTGAGAAAAGATATTAGCGCTGGCAATGTGGAGTCTGTATGGATAGAGTTGAGAAACACCAAAGGGCAAAAAACATGTATAGACCTCCAAACTGCCGTGGTGATGTTGGGAATGGCATTAAACAAGAAATTAGAGATGCATGTGATCAGGGAATATCGGTGATCATGAGTGATTTTAATCTGCACATAGATTAGGCAAATCAAGTTAGCCACAATGCTGTAGAGGAGGCATTCTTGGAGTCTATACAGGATGGTTTTCTTGACTAATATGTGGAGGAACCAACTAGAGAGCAGGCCATTTTAGACCGGGTGTATAATGAGAAGGGAATCATTGTCAATCTAGCTGTGTGAGACT